TCATTGCTAATTTTTTTTATTTATTGCCTAGATGGGTGGACGAGCTCACAGCCCACCTGGTGTTAAGTGGTTACTGGGGCCCATAGACATCCACAGCGTAAATGCGCCACCCACCTTGAGATATAAGTTCTAAGGTCTCAAGTATAGTTACAACGGCTGCCCCATCCTTCAAACCGAAACGCATTACTGCTTCACGGCAGAAATAGGCAGGGCGGTGGTACCTACCCGCGCGGACTCACAAGAGGTCCTACCACCAGTAAACTGCTAGCAAACAAAGCAGACTGTAAAATAACTTCCAACACACGAAACTAACACACATACACGCAAAATGAAACTGTAAGAGTACCTATAAACTATACATCAACATATTAGGCAAAACATGTTTAGTATAAATAAAGAAGCAACATCGAAAACTTTATTTGTGAAAACGAAACTTCTAAAACAAAGCGTATAGTTGAGATGCATGCGGATTTATATAAATAGACAACCATGGTCGATGGCAGACCCGACGGCGCCGGTCGGGTCCGATGCCGACGCCATATGACCCGACACTCGAAGCAGGGCTTTCAAACCGCGTTTATCAATATTTAACAGATACACTGAAAAACTATATTACCTATAATTGTTTAATGTAGATTTGTATTTTGTACTAGCTGGCCCGGCAGACTTCGTAATGCCTCAATCGATAAATCAAAGACCTAAACTTTTGTATAAAATAAACTTAAAACAAACAAAAGGAATCCAACCGACGGGGGACACAACAAAGGAAAAATAAAATTGTTATTTTTTTAATTCCGACCATTTTCATATTTATCTACTTTTTAAACCTTCTCTGGATTTCCACGAATAATTCAAGACCAAAATTAGCCAAATCGGTCCAGCCGTTCTCGAGTTTTAGCGAGACTAACCAACAGCAATTCATTTTTATATATATAGATAGATAACTGCGTTATACTCAAATTCCTTTACTGTCTCAGCAACTCGTCTTTGGAATAGCCTTCCCCAGAGTTTTCGTGAGGCACGTTCAGTTGATATTTTGTAAGCGAAAGTACATGATCTCTTTTTCAAAACACAGATAGCTTGATTGTTTTGTAGTATATTGTGGTTTATATAATTTATTTTATTTGATATATATTTCTCATCCATGTATTTTGTATGTATGTATATCTATGTATTTTGTTGGTAATGTAATTATAACCTAGTGTTTATTTTCACTCATGTCTATTATAATTCTTTAAATTATTGCCATGTATTAATTTTATCACAGCTACGTACTTCTTAAATCTTTCACTTTATCAACGAGGGTTAACTGGAAAAGAATGCCTGCATGACTTTAAGTTCACATTTGTACAATGTTTTTGTTTATTAAAGGATTTTCAATCAATCAATCAATTAATATTACTTTTCGTTATTTTTTAACATAGATGGACAGACAGACTCACGACATGACAGAAAGCACAATGTGACACATGATTTCTTATATAAATTAAAAGAGGTAAAAAACTATATATATAATTAAAACCAGTTTTACGGTTTATATTCGCGTTTTTCGTTATAATTACATTATTTCCTCCCATTTACAGTTTTCGTGATCATGTACGACTGTCAGTCGATGGCCAGTAAACCGTAAAATTATTTTTAATTAAATATATTATATTATTATATGTATTCTGTAAATATTTATAACTCATTACGACGCGCAAAAACCGACGGTAATAATAATGCATAATTAAGTAATAATTTAGTAATTCTTAATACATTATTATTTTTTAGAGCATCTTTAATTTCGAACTATATATAATCTTTTCGAAATAATTTGATCGTCCTCGCTTTGTTTCCTAACTTAAGTCTATAAATATATTTTTTCGTGATTATGTATTTAATCATGCTATGCTAAAACATGAACAACGCAACTTTCAAAGCGCTGCCTCTTCTTTACCTTCACTTCAAAGAAGTCATGAGGTATCGCTCCCAGAATACCGTAATAGGAATTCAATCCAAAGCTTCAACATATGATCAGTTCCTACCATTCTATTTACCATTTCAAAGTATTTCCGATCATCCATTTCCAATCATTTCAAAGAAGGGCTGACGTAGTTGAACTACAAATTTGAAACAAATGTTAAATCAGCATTTTTTTGCTTTTTTACTGATAGAGCTTATGAGCCTGAATGGGTAGGCACCACCACCCTGACTATTTTGCCGCGAAATAGTAATGCGTTTCGGTTTGAAGAGCAGGACAGCTATATAACTAAGCTTATACCAGATGATTCAATGTGGCTGGCGGTAGCGGGATATTCCCTTAACACCAAGTGGACGGTGAGCTTGATGATCTGTTTATGCAATAAATAAATAAAAACTTTCGAATCTAAAATGGAGAATGTTGAAATTTGTTAAAAGCCGATTTGAATATCAATAGAAATATTTAAAGCAAATAATGTAAATTATTATTAAATTTATAACCGCTTAAACCGAGAGAACTTCGCGACGCATCACTCTTCAGTTGTGACGGCAGTGATCCGGAAAGTTATTTAATTTGTGCCCTACGTGACAGCCCTACGCTACAAACGTGTCCCAGACGATCCGGCAACCGTGAAACCCCACGAGATTACGGGAAACGACGTAGATATTGGATTGAGATCGTGTAAAACATCTAACATGAAAGGTGGGACAAAAATTATACGAAAATGTCAAAATATATTACAATGTCAAAAGAATCTTCGTATGGGCAATGAATAAGGATTAGAAAATTATACTTGCCACTTTGGTAAGATTTGCTCTGATTACCTTTTAATATGAATAATTTATGTTCTTTTGTTAAATTATATTTGCGTTATTATATTGCTATGACTGGTACAAGGTAAAGTAATTACGAATAGTTTTAAGAATGGTAATAAAATAAAAACTTTGATCACGTGTGTCAAGGTTACCTTTTAATACCAGATTGAAAATTGGTTCCTTTTTCATCTACTTTAACGATAAAATCATACATACTTAGAGACTACACTAATCATATTTTTTTACATCGCACGAGAATTCGTCGACTGGCCAAAAAAAAAACTTCAGAGGTGTCAAGGGACACCCGGATGGAACGAAGTTCCTTTCGATTAATTAGTGAAGGAATTGTATTTTTTTTTTTCATTTATAATAATAAATTACGGCATTATGAAGAAGAAAAAAACAATACTATGAACTAAATTACTATTGTTGAAATCTCGAGAAACTGTACTCATTACGCGGACCAATCGGATACGAGCAATGTCACGCGATAAGCGCCTACACGTTGATTGGTCAGAATGACGGATCTAAAAAGTGTCGTGACAACTTTTCGTAAGATTTTTTTCCGTCTAGCCCCCTTTCACAACGCGCGATAAGGAACTTCGTTCCAAAACTGAACCAAAAAAACAAATGCACGCAGCAGATTACAGCAGATGTTAGAACTTTAAAAGAACAATAGTAGGATAATAAGTGAAAGGGAATGCGAATCAATGCGATTACATACAGCCTGCCTCATTCTGCCGCAAAACAATTATCGTAAGTTCCGATTTGATCTTCTGGATTAGATTCTGGATCAGCATTAAGTTTGCTTTTCTATAGGTATAAATCACACAAATTTGGGTATATACTGTACCCCATAGATACTTTGCTTGGATGATGGATTGCTTGATAGAAGCTTTGAGATAAGTACGATATTGAATTTATAATTACAATTATCATTAAAACAACAGTTATATTATTCCATAAGATCTGAACGCCCAATTGTTCCGCTACATAAATGAGCATGAATATATAGTATAATCATTCTGTAAAACTGATTCATTATTTGTGTCTATTTAGCTGCAGTAATTTCTCGTGTTGTTTCTAACACGCTCGGTAAAGGTGTACGCAAGCAATTACCGCATGAACGATTACAGACACGCTCCACGGGCAAAGGAGTATCTACTCTAGTGGACAACGCCTCAGTTCACATCAAAGCGAAGTGGGAAATCAACATTAACTTGCCAAACAAAGCCAGTGTTCGGAACCATGCAATAAAGTGCAAATTACGTATGGTGAAATACGGTAACGTCATTTATACTTTATTCAAGTTTAAAATACATTGTGGGAATTGTATTCATTGCCGAACGCATTCAACGATAAACTATGTAATAATTAATCAAAGAATTAGAGCAGTATCAAAATTCCAAAATGAAAACTGCCCAAATAAAAATGTTCATACCAACAAACATCCAAATAGCATCGTCATTGGATTAAAAAATTATACAAGCTAAATAGTACCTACAGTACAATATTGTCAACTTTTTCTAAAGTTGTCCGTGTAAAAGGGTACTCAAAGTGGTAAACCGACATCCACTCTATTTGTCTCCGCTAACACGACCGCTGCGCACTTCGCGCCAACGAGTTTACGTTAAGAATCCTCTCGATTTTAAAAGCAGCTTATACTTAGGTTACCTTTTTGAACAAGAAACTGATTAAACATTTAATATTAATGTGTAGTTCCATTTCAACAAACCCTATCAACATTTACTGTTTACTTCTGTTTATATAATATAATATGAGTACTCCTACAGATGGCACACACGTTATTGACATAAAATTTACAATGTTTAGTTTACGAAAACAACTTGTGTTCTTGTGCGGAAGTGTAATGGCACGAAGTTGCGTACCCTCGAGAGTTGTTTTTGAGTAGGAGAACGATCGAAGATCAAATAATATGCGACCTTCGTCTATTGAGATAAAGACTAAAATATTTAAAAGATATAAGCAATATAATCTTTTCATTCCCAGAAGGTTCTGTCGCAAGGAAAATTTCCTCTTATTGTGTTAGTGAATGCTTATTGTATGTCCGGGCGTTTTCCCTATTGTAACGGCTTTAGAAGCCTGGGGCAACGTTACTTCTATGACTTTACAATTATCTTTAATAAAGAGTTAAACCAACTAAGTCATTGTGATCTTTCAAAAAAAAATTATATTATAGTTAGGATCGTTTGGGTACTGACCTCTTCCTCAGTGGTGGCGGTATTGACCGAATCCATGCTTTGGCAGAGAGCGAGCTCCATATTCTTGTGTTGCGGAGATGCGGCCCGCGGTGATGACTGCTGTGGAGGCACCAGCGTGCCTTGGTTTGCTCCTGGAGTTTGCTGTGCCCCTACTCCTGGCCCGACAGGACTCTGTGAAGCTTGCAGGCCTTGAACCGCTTGTAGATTCTGAGCCGCTTGAAGGCTTTGCGCCGCCTGAAGGCTTTGTTGAGCTTGTAAGCTCTGCTGCGCCTGCAGATTTTGCAAAGACTGATGGGCCAGATTCAATTGGTGTTGTTGCACGATGCTTTGTTGCACAATGCTTTGCTGCACTTTGATGTGTTGGTGCACGGCTAGTTGGTGAATTGGATGAAGGGTGGTCGGGGGAGCAGGGAACGGGGGGGAGAGCCGCTGTCGCTTCACTTGCGCGTTCTGAAGCGCTTCGTGCAGCCTCTTCACGGGGAGGGGACTTTGGCCGAGGTTATCCACGACTGTGGCTGGGCGTGCCGGCCGAGTCGCGTGACTCTGGCGAGCACTGACCGTTGCAGCGACAGGGAAGGAACCGCGTACTGTAAGACACGGTATCGATATCGAAGTATCAACAACGACAGTACTTGTTCGTTGATCAACGCGATAATTGACGAATACGAGTTTCTTAATGAAACGTATTTACTACACCTAGCGGCGAATTTATTGTTCAGTGCTTTAGCACTAGAATCTTCATACGAGTTGGATGATCCTCTTCGAATGAGTTAATCCTGCAAAAAAAAGAAAAATAAACTTTATAGATATAATGGAGCAAAAAACATTCCCTACACTATTTAAAAATGCCATAGATGCTAGGGGTGCTGTAGCTAATCTCAGTTTTTTTCTTTCATGTTCGTTACTTAGTTCAGTAATGATGAAGACATAAAGCTGTATAACTATTATTATTTCACATCACAAATATAAATGCGACCAATTAAAGTTTCATCTCAGTGTCGCTCTTTTAACAAGATTCATGAGTATTGTTCTTAAAAATCTAATCATTTGCCTAAACGCACATTCTTTCGTAATGGTTTCAGAAGAATTTTCTAAAATAATATGTTTTGTTTTAATACATTTTACACTACAAACACAATATACAACTATAAATACTTCAACGGCAGCCAGATGCGAACAGACGAAATTTAAAACTACGCAATCGTTGATTCTCTTTCGATTAAACTGTACTACAACGTTATAGTTCAAAGAACCTTAAATAAAACTATATTTCGTTATTAACATTGTTGAAACGAAGTTCCTTATGTGACCATGCGGAGGGGTACCCTAACCGGGAAAAAACGTCCGTAACGTAAGATTTTTTTTATAGCTAAAATAACTATGTTATAACAAAAAGAAACATCTCAGGCGCACGGTTTGAATGATTGAATATTTCTGCAGATAATGCACACTTTTGGTGGGGTTGCAACTTAAAAGATTAGTGACGTTATGTAAATCATGACTTCAACAACAACAACTTACAATGCTTATAACAAAATATACCAAAACACAATGCCTTCAAGCTACGTACCTATTTAAAATTACAAGAACAAAAAAAAACAAATGAACAGAAAAAATAAGTAAATTATTCACGTCCTCCACAAATGACAGTACGCCAATGATAAAAGCGGACGTCGACTCTTAATATGTAACAATCACGTGTACCATTAGGTGTTTCAAGGTTGATGCTTTTTATTTCATGTTACCTACCATGACTAACTTGTATACGTTTTGTGCTAGAAGCTGCATGAAAAAAAACTTAAGTGCTTCGTGTATTCACAATGAATCTTGTACAAAATTCAACAATAATAACTGATCATCAATGTTTCCGTGTACTGTTTTTGAGTATATATTCAAAATTTTACAGTTTTTCTTAAATACAATTTCTAATATTTATTTTCTGTTAGTTCGTTCGTCATGAACTCTGTAGTATTACAACAAAACAGACAATTATTATAGTTTCTGGTGGACAAATGGTGCCGTATGTCTTAAATTTAAAGAGCACATTTTAGTATATCATCATCAAATATTTATTAATAGTAGGTTACAATTACTTTATTTGTTTACGATATTTTATCCTTATAATTTCGACATTCATTCTAAATACGTAAATAAATGTACATATGTAAAATATGGAGAGTCAATTTAGTGTCTTTTTTCATTAAAACTATTAACACATTTCGATGACGTTGGTAAAAGTTTTTTTTTCTTTTTGTTATATCGAACGTGTTCCAATTTCAACAGGTACAGCCACCCCGATTGGCGTGACATCATCCAATTAGACAGATCGAAACCGTTGAATAGAGCCCGGTTCAATATATGTAGGTAATTGATCTACCGCGCATCGGAACTTATTTCTGATATCATGAAAGTACTGCTATTGTTTGAATACTATTTCGCAGTATAATAAAGGTTTTAACTTTTGTTTTGTTGATTTGTTGACTATAAAAAAAATTAATGATTAATCCAATCTTTCTTTGCAGTGTTCATTTATAATTCTGTGATTTTAGATTTGCACCTCATGAATCTATAAAAAAGGAAATATTGGAAACGTTCACTCTTCTAGAATTAAACTTTAATAATTGTGAATCTAACTTACTTTTTCATTTACATAACGAAACAATTTTAACAATTTTTCCATGAAATTTGGCGCCAGCAGCATACTAATGGGTTAACTTTTAATTGAGTTGGATTTTTTTAAAAGGGCTTCATTTTTCCTGCTTAATTAAATAGGCCCTATAATTATCATTATTTCTCGTCGTATAGTAATAATTTACCTATAGAATCTGTGGTTTCTAGCTTAAGGTCATATAAATGATATCTAAAATTTATATAATGAGGTATGTTTTCATCGCCTCGTCGATTTAGTGGACTATTCACAGTTTGAGTCGGTGTCTATCCTGCTTGCCTGATTACATATAGCTACCATTATTATATAATGATTAGTTATAAGATAATTATAAAAAAAAAAACGATATTGTAACAATTATTGTAACGCCTGGATATTATATACCCTATATTTATCCTCAAATTATAAATATCTAAGGTTGTCGCACTCTTGCAACCGGAACGCGTGACCGACCTTCGGCAGAAATAGGCAAGATAGAGGCACCTACCTCTTAATACTCCGTTCGATTTAGTTTTTAGACCATAATACTAAATACTGACGCAAAGTGAAAGAGGCCATTTCACAGTCCACGTTTTAAACAGCAAAAACAACACCCAAGCTGAGCAGCTCAGTGGTGTCAAAACTCCTGACCCATAATATCTATTGTTAACGTAACCGCAACGCCTAAATTTTACAACACGCTTTATTGTAACGGCACTATTGCTCGGTTAAATTACAAAATTGACGACGAAAAATGATGTTTTTAAGAGTAATTACAAAATTGCTATTTTTGTTTTTTTTTTTTTTTTGTTTTAAGTGGATTGTTGTTGAGATTGTTGACTTGCATAAACGGTTTACAATTTGACAGTGGTCATTTATTTTTGTTTTAGCGATATCCAACTATAGACAAGCAATACGTGATAATGTTTGGCACAGTAAACTGATTTCAGATCCATACTGCTTACCTATCTCAAAATTTTGAAGTCGTCGTGGCCTAAAGGATAAGTCGTCCGGTGCGTTCATGTTGAGCGATGCACCAGTGTTCGAATCCTAGGCGGGTACCAATTTTTGTAATGAAATACGTACTCAACAAATGTTCACGATTTACTTCTACGGTGAAGGAATAACATCGTGTAATAAAAATCAAACCCGCAAAATTGTAATTTACGTAATTACTGGTGGTAGGACCTCTTGTGAGTCCGCACGGGTAGTTACTGCCAACCTACCTATTTCTGCCGTGAAGCAGTAATGCATTTCGCTTTGAAGGGTCGGGCAGCCGCTGTACTGTTTGAACTGAGAACTTAAGACACATTTCACAAGGTGGGTGGCGGCATTTACGTTGTAGAGGTCTATGGGCTCCAGTACCCACTTAACACCAGGTGGGCTGTAAGTTCATTCACCCATCTAAGCACAGTAAAAAAAAAAAAGATATCAATGTTTGTTTATCGTTTCAATGTCCACATACAAATTGTGTCAAAAGAGTAATCCATAAAGTAGGTATAAAAATCAGATTCATTTCGCTTAAAAACAATGTTACATTCAGAAACGACAGTAGTAAAAATATGAGATGTATTTCAAGCAAACTCTCAGCACTTAAATCCCTTCGTTTTATTTATGCGGCGGCATCGCGGCGCCGACAGAGAAATCCTAACTCCTTCGCTTTCCATTCGTAATACGAACTAACTCCTTCCGCTGAAGTTTGCAAAACTACATGACCAGAATCACATGAATTGACGTTGTGTTTTCTTTAAATTTGTTGAAAAGTTTACATATATTTGGTCAGACTTTATGCTTATAGAAATTTTTCATTTTTATTAACCTTTTCCTGTGGTATGACCACTGAAAATTTACCAACGGTTGGGCTTGTTGGTTGCCAGCCCTGCCAAGGTTTCCTATTTATTCCTACCCGGACTTAGGTTAGCACACCCGTCATACAATAAAATTGAGATTTATGATGTATCAAAGTGGGGGGCGGTTTCACATGAGCTTCGATAATCAGTACACTAGGTGAATTCGTCTACCTATTTAAACAACAAAAAGTACCTATTAAGGTTTTCCATCAGATCAGTTGATTAGTTTGTTAACATAGTAAATAAATAAATACATTTATAAGAGGCTTCTATGATAATAAATTCTTAATTCAAAGTCATATACACTTTATACTATCAAATGCTCATTTGTCAAGCTACACTCGTAATACATGAGTATTTCCCCCTCCTGGCTGAGCCTTTGCTCGCCCACCTGTCCTGGTGAAACTGGAAAGGCCTCCGGGCCACCAGTAATCCTTCAATCATAAAAAAAAAAAAAAAAAAATGATTATTTCATAAAAAGCTACATTTGTTTTACCTTCCTACATATTCTAATCCGTTACCTAAAACAACATATACCCACAGATTATACACGCAACAAAGCTTTACTTCTATTAAGCCACACCCATATGAGTGAATTAAATTCTGAGAATTTGTAAGTAGCAATATATGTACACGGAAGACGTAAAATACATTTTTGTTTTCTTCGCAAGCCTCACGGAAGCCATTGAACTTGACAAATAATGTAATTAGTAATATCTATAGAGCTTAGACAGACGAATGCTTATTAAATTACTTGGGTTCACACCCAATGCTGTTCATATTAACATCAATTATTATCCTGAAATTATATAATTTAAAATAAAATTTTGATGACTTTTTTACCAACGAATATTTGTTTTTACGACAAACTGTTAGTCAAGAAAACTGTTAGACAATTAAACAAGAAAACTATTAGACGTTACCTGAAAATTTTATTTACAGAAAATCCAAAGAGAATCGTTTGATTTTAAAATAATAGTATCAATATTTACGGGAAATAAGGAGGTATAAAATACGTAACTAGACGAAAGATAAATGCTAACACACCGCAAGCTAATGTTCGACCATTGATCGAATTTGAACCTAATCACTGACACCTCAAGATTCAAATTCATTAAACGTGTTAACCTTTCTCTGTTATTTTCTTATTGACAGATGCACACTATTTTAAAAAACTAAGTGATAAATACTCATCAAAACTACTAAGGAAAAAAAATAAAGAAAAATGGTTGAAAAACAGAAAAGAAAACCGTGCTAAATTATATTGTCCTTTGCATTT